TGGGTGCAGGCTAAGTTTGTCCTAGCCTATCCAATGCATCAAATCACTTTCCATTGATGGGAAAACAGCACACATAGTCTTAAGGAGCCCTATGGAGGAAAATGCGGAGGTCTCTACACCATTTATTCAGCTTCACACAAGTTTTTGAAAAAGGAGAGGCTACCTAAGCTTAGGAGTAGTTTTAGAGATAGAAAGATCAAGGAAGAAGAGGAAGTTAGAGAGAGAAAGCTGGATTTTCATATTTCTTTTCCATTTTCAGTATTGTAAGCTTTAAACTACTTGTAATCTTTCCCCTTTTCACTTCAACTTTTTCATTCAAGTTGTATGCAAGCTTAGCTAAGTATTTCAAGCATTTCAAGTTCTATATTTGGGTATTTATTTCCAATCTTTGTATTTTGACTATGAATGCCATTTCTCTTGTAGTTTAACTCTTTTATTGCATTAATACTAGTTCCATGTTTCATTTCTTCATCATGTCTCTACACATTATGCATGTCTTTGCATTCATTATGAGTAGCTAGGTTTTTATTTGGCCAATCCAAGGGAGATTTCCACTTGAATATGCTAAATCAACTCTCCTCCATTCTTCTTCTTAGTGTAAAGTGCTTGATTTGACTAGGTTGAGTGCGGACGTGATTATGAGCTCTTGATACACCGGGGTATGCTTGAACCTACACCTCCACCTCCACATTGGTCCCTCACTTCCCACAAACCAATCAAGCACCGAGACACCATTGAAAGAATTTTTTGAGTTGTTTCGGATTAGCCAACCTTATTTTCTTACATTTTATCAAAAATCCTCACTCATCAAAACACAAACTCACAAGATTTTACACTTTTTATTTTTTACAAAATCACCTTCATCACAATTCAACCTTCCTTCCCTGAGAAGACAACCTTGGAATACTCATTCCAAGTAAAACACAACACTTGCAAGTCTCTCTTCGCTTGGAGAGCACTTTTTCACACACACGTTTTTCACCCATTTCTAGCATCGAACCCGAGGGAGAGTGACACTCAACTACACATAAGCCATACACACAATCTAGGGTCGTGTTGGAGGTCAAGGAAAGCAATCAAGCACTACATGCTCATTTAAGTTAAATATTTTTATTTTTTTTTATTATTTTGTTCAATGTTAATTTAGGTTTATCTATACTTCTAGTTCCATTAAGAGAAACTCTATCACTGTTTCAAACCGGTGCCTCTATTGGCCTCTGTTGAACATGACCAAACTATCTTAATCTATTCTCTCTTAACTTATCCTTAATTAAAGTTACTCCTGTCATTTCTCTAATATGGTCATTTTGTATTCTATCCTTTCTAGTTTTTTCACACATTCACCTAAGCATTCTCATTTCTACTATACTCATTTTGTCACTATGTTGTTTCCTAATTGTTCAACAATCTGTCACATACAACATTGTTGTCCTTATAGTTTTTCGGTAAAACTTACCTTTCAATTTTATTAGTATCCTTCTACCACATAATATGCCAAAAATTTTCCTCCATTTAAGCCAACCGGCATTGATTCTATGAGATACGATCCTAGATATCTAAATTTTTACTTGTTGATATTTCTTGATTTCAATCTTAACTTTTTCACACTGTCTACTTTTTTTGTTACTAAAATTGCATTACATATATTCAGTTTTACTCCTACTTATTTTAAACTCTTTCGATTCAAATGTCTCTCTCCAAATTTTTAGCTTATTGTTAATCCCCCAAAAAAATTATCCTATTGAGCACTAAAGGATGTTGCTCAAATAGGGTCCAATGAATGACTAAATCTATGTTTTTAAAACTCATTTGAGGTTTAGAAAAACTATTTGAATGAAAAGACTAAGAGTTATACTCGGTTATTCCTAATTCCAATTACCAAAACACTAGCCTAAGTCTATAAATAAACCAAGGGGTCATAGGCTTCATGGTCCTTTGTAAGCCCCCATGTACTTATTGTAATGTGTATTAGATTATCATAAATTGCATGGATAAATATGACTTTTACATGCATTTTTTCCTGGAAGTGGTTAGAAAGCAATTAGATACTGCCCTAGTATTTTAATTCTAACTTATTATCCTAACATTAGACTGACCTGATTTTTGGACATTAGAAACTAGACTTCAAGAGGTACGAAAGAGTATTTCACAAAAGTTTTGTAAATCGACTTCTAACTAGGTGAAAACTACATTGAAAATTCAGGTAGATATTTCTGTTACGTTCAAACGTCAATCCACGTTCGAACGCAGTTTTGCAATAGTAGTTTGGTTCTGACAAACAGAACTGATAGAATAGGAGATACTGGGAGTAGAGCGCATTAAAACGCAATTTACATTCGCACGTCATTCGCATTCGAAGGGGAGTGTGTGTTTAGCAAGGATCAAGCTCGCATCGACTAAACAATTTTTGACCCTATAAATATCCTAAAAACGTTCTCTAAGTCAGTTTTCAAAAGTTTGCAACCCTAGAAGACTAAGGAGAATTGGGAGAACAAAAAAATGAGAGATTTCGAAGGATTTATGTGTGGAAATTATAACCAAATGCGTTAGGATCAAGATCTACAGAAATGAAGGCAGAAGTTTTTTCTCAAATTCATATATTAAGGCTAGAACTATTATTTGCATTAATCATTTTCTTGAAAACGTATAATTTACATCCAAAATTTATTCGTTCTTGTTTCAAAAACCCTAGTTTTTGTTATGATCAAGGAAAATATGTTTCTTGAAGATCTCTTGCATATTTTTTCTTGAAGTACTCTCTTTGAAAATTAGTGAAACCATGATACTTTATTTTAGTTGAATTTTATGAAAATTTATGGAAATTATCTCTTATATGGATAGGTGTGCTAAACGTAGGTTGCAGTCGACTGAATATCTTAGAGGGATTAGATGAGTTTCTAACTTTGAGGGGTTTGAAAGTTTTCTAACACTGTTTGGACCTAAAATACAAAGTAACATATTTTGGAGCAACACACTCATAGTGGAATTATTTGGTGTCTTGCGAGGGTCAAGAATTCACTATTTACTCACAGTGTTCGAGGTAGAAGGTTAGTAATACTATTCTTGGGAAGTTACAAAACAGTTTATCCTTGCAAAAATTGGATTGATGATTGGCAAGAGTGTATGTGTGCGTGGGCCAAGATATTCTTGATGTATGGATTCACGATAGTCAATCTACGTACATGAAATATACATATTGGTTATGATGATATATAACTTAAGAATTGATTTTAGCTCTTTATGAACTTTATTGTGTGTACTGTAAACTTGATATTATATGTTATTTTATCAATTGAAACTTACATGTTTTATTGATTTGAGACCTTATTGGGATTGAGAGAGTTTTTCTACGTGGCTTGTTGCTCATCCTATGCTTAAACCTATTTTTAGATTTCGGTATTGAGGAGGATCTCGGGCGAGGTGAGCAAGTAGATTGGGATGCAAAGGTGGATCGGAATGTGGATCCAGACTTGGAGGCTCAGAGATGTTTATTTAGTTTTAAGTTTTGAACTTAATGGTTTGATCATGTACATTTTATTTTAATTAATGGTTGGAGCATGATTACTTTGAGTTTGGATGTAACTTCAAGGTTTCAATTATGTTGACTTGAAATTTTAGTTTAGTTAGTTGTTGAATGAAGAATGATTTATCTATTTTATAGTTGTATTAGCATGGCCTTATGATTGGATGATGTATAAATAGTTAATATCTTTAAATATAAATTTGGGATGTTATATCATTACTTTTGTCCTAAGCATTAAAGGTGCATCAAAGATCTTCTTGATTTCTCGTTGAAGCTTGAACTTTGTCCTTCCATATTACTTTTGGAGTTTTGATCTTTGAAACTTCTTGACCATGGTATTAAGTTTAGATTTACAAAGATTTCATGAAATTAGTCAATTATAGTACCACTAGTTGTGGATGTATGTGGTGACATGCACGACGCCACAGGTTTTCAATATCTGTTTGATCTATATTATTATTATCAGGTTTTTGGATGTTTCGAATTCTTATTTAAACTTAAAAGTATTTATTTTTATGAGTTATCTCAAAATCAAAATTAATTTATACCATAACTGATGAAATTATCATGTTACCCTTCTGAACCGTTACACAATCCAAATGTCTATCCCAAGATTTCTCGACCTCCCGGATTCAATATTATTTTGACCTAAAAATTTTCAAAAATTTATCTAATTAATCTTCTCTCTCTCATTCTTCTTCCTCACGGCTCTAACCTGCTCCTACGCACAAATCCATCAATTCGACACACTCTCTCACGTCCTAATTCATCACCTTTTTTTGATGGTCAATAGTTCCTCACAGATAGTAGTTGGAATATGTTCCAAAATAAGACCTCGTAGTCTCTTCTACCAAAACTTCTTTACGTCTCTCCAATAAATGTTTTAATTTCTTCCTCGATGAATCCTGAATATTCCAAATCCATCATCTCTGTTTGCATCCAACTTTGTTCTCAGTCCAATATACATAGTTTCTGCAGAGGAAATTTATGGATATTTTAGCCTTTGCACATACTTGAATACAGAAAATTAAAAAAAAAAGATGAGTAGAACACTATTCACCAGTCACTCAAAGCAATTCGCCTGGTGCAACTTTTTGTCTCGTATTTGTATGTATATATGTATTGGAGGATATGTAAATTACTTCCCTAGTACTGGTAAGATAGACATTGTATTCGCAGAATAAGGATAACAATGGAATTCCAATTTTTGGCTTGATCGATGAAAACTACTTCGCCAGAAGTGGAGAATTGGCAGTTCTAAAAAAGTTGCTGGGGTAGCATCTGTGAACACCCATTCCATGGATCAACCCAAAAGCCAACAAATCCACCATATATGCAAATGGCTAGGGATAGAAAAGTGCACTGTTGCATGATTAGTCCTAATTCCTATTGTTCCAAAAATCAAAATATCAAATCAAGGTTCTAAGTGATTTAAATATAGACAACAAAAATGATATACACCAAACAATGAAATGAGATTCGAATTGGAGTTTTAAAATCCAATCAAAATTCATATCAAAACAAATCCAATCAAGATTCAACCCATTTGACAATCCTAAAGCAAAATCTTGATTGCCAACTCCATCCAAAAAAAAAACATTGTCATAAAAATTGTAGCTTCATAAAGATGACAGAAGACGGTGAAGCTTGAACTACAGTCACATTGTCTTGCAATAGTGAGTAAGGCTAGAGAGGCATGTAAAGAAGTTACCCTTGTCACCCCTAAAACTACTTAAATGAAATATTAATCAATTAAATCACAATTACAATTTTTATAGTGTCCAATCAGAGAGAACACCTGGTGATGCCGATGTAGAAAAGCATTCTTGTGGTACTGATTGAAGCACACCTGCTTCATAGTTTACAAGATTCCTATTTTCACTTTTTAACTGAGAAAAGATAACTATTTATCATCAGATTATACTACTACTACATCTACACATTCAACACCCTCTGAAGGTCTCCAGATATATCATCCAAATGAACGATCTCTTTTTCAGTTCTTTTTGCCGTCCGTATCTGCTCTAACTGTAAATTCAATTCAGCAATTTGCTTTTGTATTCTTTCTCCTTTATCCGGTAACTTTGTAACTGTAATCTGAAACAATTTTAACAAGAAAAACAACAAAGGATTTGGAATGAAAACCAACAGTAAGTGTTCAAAAAATAACTATCAAGTCATTAATGATAAAAAAAAAAAAAAAAAAAAGCCCAATTCAACTGAATCTGAGTAAAAGAGTTGAATTCATTCTAAGCTTATATCGTCCCTCATGATTTACACAGACATAATGCATTATAGACTAGCCTACAAGTTTTCAGACGGAATTGATGGAACATCCATCATGAACAATCATCATCACCATGGGGATGTGGTTCAGACTTCAGCCTCATAGTAGTGCAGTCAAATTCTTGGTCTTACACACTGCAATATGTTCAAACTTGGTCTATATTCAGTTCAAAGATCAAACACGAGGACAGGTTAAACCCCAAGTGTGTTATATTAGCCAGCAGCATTAGATAGAGCTTAGTTTCAAAAATTACGCAGAGCCTGCTTTTGACCTGTCAAGTAAAATGAAATTTCCTTTTTTTTTTGTAGTCTGCAAGCCCTATGGTGTTGCCTGAAATATTAGTTTTAATGGCAAGCAATCAAGCAAAATGACATCTACTAATAGCCTTCTATCAATGTGGATAAAACTTCAAATGTTGAAAATTTGGTGTTCTCCTTCAAACCAGTTCCCTGAGCCTCATTAAGATTGGTAATGAGTGCTTGATTTTGTTCAAAAGGATTAATACCTTGTTTGCAACAATCTGGGACAGTCTCTTGATTCTCTCCCTGATTTCAGTTTCTGTTGGTTCACTTGCACAATTAGGGGAAGCATTCTTTGTGGGCAATTTCACATCCTTTGGCTTGAATGCGTACGCACTACTGTAGAAATGAAGTTTATTTCTCATCATATGAACAATAACAATACGGCTCAAAGCATTGAATAATCATCATCTTATTATGGCCAGAATATTATACAGTTTCCGATGCAATTTTATTCTTCATCATTAACCAAGTGAAGTAAATGATTCCTGCTAGCCATACCCCTCAACATTATATTGAAGTGACGAGCTTGAACCAGATGAGTTCCCCACAATTGTAGTCCCCTTCACCCTGCACGCCCAAATATGGAGCTAAAAACATAAAACATCAAGTAACCATATGGAACTAGTTTGATTGCAATACAAAGTTAAAAAAAAGGCATCTCTGCTCAAATAGCTCAGCAAACTGTGGTCCAAAAACATGCATAACCTCAAAATATTTAGTGGCCAAAGGGAGCATCATCACCAAAATTCAGGGTTCAGAGATCAAATTACATCTGCTTTAAGCATGTAAAGGAAGCCACAAACACAATGTGTGCCACTACGTTCCCCCAACTAAGAGGCGAAACAAAAAGGTCATACCTTATTACTTCCTCATCTTCCTGAGCGACAGGTACAGGGGCCGTCTTGGAGAAAAGTAAACTATGGTGACTAACACCTGCTATGCCCAGAGTCTCTAGGAAGTCTATGTGGCCTTTCAGGGACTCAATCCTTCAGTAGAAAAGGAAGCAATCAGAAACAGGAAGAAATACACATGACAAGCCACTCAAATAACGGACATAATGGTTTTATTTGTAGAGTCACAGACCACCAAAGAATTGACTAAGCAATTTTTCTTTTCTAACTAAATGTTTGCTTTTCAGCTCTGAACTGTGAAAAAAATATGCATTTTACCATTTACTTGACTACTAGTGAGGTACTGTTTCACTTAAGCTGTATTTCCCAGCATTTAAAAAAGTTAAAACTAAAGAAGCAAAGAAAATTTGGCTTTGAACATTAAAACATCTAAATGAATGTATCTAACTAAGATCTGAAAGGAACCTATACAAAACAAATATGGTACATTGTGTGAAGTCGATCATGCTCTTCATGCAGTTGCTGCTGAGTGGGGGAAACATCAAAGCCCTGCTTGGGTAGACTAAAAAGTTCACGAAGATCCTGAAAATTTGATTAAGCACACAAAGTATACAACGAAATGATTAATAGACATAATCTACAGTAAACAGAACGACAATAAAACACTCCCAGAAATTTACCTGTTGACTGAAATACCGAATTTGCTCTTTGTGCTCGGTTGCAGTTTTGAACAATCCCCCCTTGAATATCTATGACACAAATTTTAAGCAGCCAAAAATACCATTATAGTAACTCCATTCTAAAAAGGGATGGTCAAGCAAGAAATAGGAGCAATAAATTGAAGGCCTCTCTAGAGAGCAGTGTCCCTCACCTCTATAATATTCTATATAGGCATACGTCAACATTTTGCACCAAATGAGCAATTAAGGGTTTATTATTTGATCTTATAACAACCATCAAAATGTTAGAGTAATCTTGTATAGGGGTAGTGAGGGAGAGAGAAGGGAAAGAAAAGAGATAAAGAATCCTTGTTAACACCAACTCCCGTAACGTGATCTAGTAGACTACTAATACCCTAGTGGGTAATAGTTTTGGTGAAAAGATAAAAAAAGGCCTCTGTTTTATATGAGATGGTAACACACTTTGGATAAAAAAGTCCAAACAATATTTAGGTTATATTAATTAGGCAATTGCCTTATGCACGTCTACACTTTTTTGTAGCAGCCCTATATATATTTAAGAATTTTAGCCTAATTACAACTCTCTACCATCTCTCTAATGTACTGAATTTTTATTATTTGAAAAAATGGCTTTTGAAAAACAGAGGGAAGAACAAGGAGTTAAGAATTAATATTCAAAATTTAGATAATTCCACTAATGAACAAGAAGTTGAACAGATTGAAATAAGAGAAGAAGATAACACTAAACAACCACAAAAAAATCACACACGGGACGATCAATTACAAGTGGATGCAAAATTGAAGCAATTACTAAATGAAGTCAATCTTCTTGGTAAAGCTCACGCAAAAAATTTCAGGTGGATCAAAGAGTTGGTCATATAAACATTGCAATGTTAAATTTACAAATTCGTAAACCCGAATGCATTACTACTTTTTTGGTGATCCAACCAAGAAAATGTAGAAATTAAGCAATGTCAAGCGTTGATGAATAATTTGATTAAATATATAAAATTGAGAAAAAGAGTAAAAAAAACTAAAAAAAAAAAATAGGAGTTTGTTCATCTCTGAAAAATTCTACATTGATGAAGCGACAACCTTTGTTAACAACAGGAATAACTGAAGATGCATTCAAAATAATGAATCAAGATATTATTGACTTGAAGGCAATGAGGGGATTATGTGCTAATGTAATCCCATTCATTGTGTTGAGAAATCCTCAACTCAATGAGATGATTTCAACTATAAATAGGGGAACTAAAAATTACAAGGCTCCAAACTATAAAAAAGTAAGAACTACAATATTGGATGAGTGCAAAAAAAAATGTTACCAAAGATTTGATTCCGGTTAAAGATTCATGATATTCTAATGGCATATCCGTTGTATCATGTAGGTGGACTTATGCAAAACATCAACCACTTATTAATATTATTGCTACAAATAGTCATGGAACCATGTTTTATATACTGAGAATTTTTCGAGGACAGAGAAAACAGATAAAACAACTGTTGATTTTTTGTTCAAAGCCATTGAAAAAGTGGCAAATTCTTGGGCATTATTGGGCCGAACTGGATTTGAACCAGCATAGACATATTGCCAATAAATAACCAAAGATATTACTTGGCCTAAGGATCAAATTGGTCATTTTTCTTGCATCTCCCCTTCCCGGAGCCCAGGTATCATATCCAATAAATGTCATACAAATTGTAAACTTGCAGGGAAGGAGGTGGAAGACGTACACACACATTTTTGTTCTTCTTGTGATGTTCATACTCTAAATCTCAATTTTAAAGACTTTACAAAGAAATTTGAGTGGTTTACAAATACTTATTGAAGAGAAAAGTCCATTTTTAAATATTTCTTAAACCATACACAAGTAGTAACCAATAGCACAACAAATTGTAAACTTACAAGAAAAGAGATGGAAAGCGTACACAAACATATATTTTGGTCTCCTTGTGTTGTTAATACTTTGAATCTCAATTTTAAAGACTTTATAAAGGAATTTGAGTGATTTACAAATACTTATTAAAGAGGAATGTCCATTTTTAAATATTTCATAAACCATACACATCCGTTGGCTATGTTTTGGGCTTAATCTAAATTAGAGCTATTAAAAGTAGCAAATACTAGATTTGCATCATATTATATTTTTTGTTAAAGCGACTTGTTCACTGTAGAGAGTCCCTTACAACTACCGTTATTCTCAACTCATGGAAAGCATTGTTGAAATCTCAAGACGAACACACAAGAAAGTTAAGTACTTTGGTTATAAAAACCGTTGGATTCATTATAAATCCAAGTATGAAGTATCACAAATCCCATTTTTTTTCTTATCAAATTTTAGGATGGGGATGGTCAAAGAATGGGTGAAATTTATGAAAAGATGGACCCTGTGTTTGGTGAAATATAAGATATTATAATGGGAGGAAAACACGTGGATAAATTTCCTCAGATTGAAAAAAGAATAATACTATTGGGACCTAATTTACTGATATAATTTGTTGACCTTATTCACTGTGACCTTTGGATTCATTATAAATCCCATCAAATATTAGAATTTAGTGTTGATTTAATGATTCTTATAAAGCCACATCATAATGTTTATAAATTAGGTTAAATTTTTAGGTCAAAATAGTATTACTCTTCAAAAAATTGTCCTTCACAAATGGAAGAAGATGTATATTCCTTTGCATTGTCTTGGGTTTGCATTACTAATATGGTTTTATGACACCCAATATCATACTAAACTAGCACAAGGAGGTACAATTAGGAAAAATCCAAATCAAAATAGGAAAGTGATTATAGAAGCATTTAGAAAGATAGCCAAAGAAGTAGAAGATGCATGTTGTGACCATGGATACTATTGATTGGTGGTCAACAAATGGTTCAGAAACTCTAGATTTAGTAAATGTGGCAAAAAAAGTACTAATTTAAGTTTATTATTATTTATTTATATTGTTAATTATCATTATTAATGTGTTTTATTATTTGTTCATAAAATGTATTATCCCAACCAATTATATTTATTCATTAACATAAAAGTTCTTCTACTAAAAAAAATTGGAGCACAGATTTATTTATTCACAAAGTCGAGAAATAGATTGAATTCTACCAAAGCCGACAAATTAGTTTTAATCCATTCAAATATTCGTCTCCAATCACATTTCACTTAAAGCTAAAAAGATGGGTCTTCTAAGAAATGGAATATAAAACTAAAGTACACATGTATAGATGATTCTATTGTGAGATTGGAGAATTTGCAATAAACATCCTTACAGGCTGATAATACGAATAGTTCTAACATTGTTAGATATGAAGATCAGGAAGCTTCATCCTCACATGTTTCTATGTTAGTTTCTATTGACTAGCCATCTACTAGTTCTAGCAGGTCACCAATTCGTCAGTCCAGACTACATCAGACTCAAATTTTTAACTTTACAAGAGGAGAAAACACTAAAAAAAAATAAGGGAAAATATTTTATTAGGCATTTAAGACTTTTATTTTGATTTATGCTTCAAGTAGAAAATTATTTAATCGCTCTCTAGTCTGGTATTTTTCAAATTTTAAGCCTTTATATTTAAAATGTCTTTTTGTATTTTGTTTTTTGATAATAAAATATGCAACCATCACTTTTTTATTAATGACTATTAGTTGATGTGTGGTTATGGGTCCCACTTTGCCTTGAAACTCGTACAACAAAAAAATAAATAAAATAATGGTGTACAATCTATTATAGATTTAAAACAACTAGTAACTGATTATGTGTATAATGTTTATCTATGTATAATTCTTTGTAATAATGAAAACGATCCGAATATTAGTCTAAAGGGAACTACAATCCAAAATAACGTATCAGCTAAGTCTACCCATACTGCACCACACAATAGAGAAATTAACGTACCCCGCATTTGTAACCGTACCATATACCAAAGGAGGTTGACGCCAATGGACCAGATGAGGAACAACTACAAAATAGCAATAGTGAGTGTGAATAGTTATTGTGATGTTAAAGTAAGAAGATGTGGTGGTAGTAAAGGTAAGAAGATTTGGATCAGAGATCAAGATTCAAAGAATCAGCCGAGTCCGAGTCAACTCGGTCGAGTCGTATCCGTCTCAGCAGTTGGCCAATCTGATAACGATACACGTTACACCAATATAACGAGATTCAATTGAATCGGTCCTAACTCGATTACAACTCGAAGCTAAATCGGTTAGACTTGGCCAAGTCGAACCGAGTCAAATTGCTATAATGCAACCAAATTTGGAAAATCTGGGAAGCAAAAAAAAAAAAAAAAGAGAAAAGAAGAAGAAAATAGATGAAACTCACAGTGAGTCGGCTGCAACTCGATTGATTCACACAGAAGTCCACCAATATTGAGGAAATTCCAAAAAAAAAAAACAAAGAAGAGGCGAAGTATAAGAAGACCCACAAAATCAAAGAATCACCTTGACTAGAAGGCCTCTTCTTCTTCTTCTTCTTTCAGTAAAGACCCATCGCAGATCAATGGAGACCCATTACAAATTAGTGGAGACCCATCACAAATCGTCAATCGTTCACTGCTCACTTCGAGTCTTCGAATGAACTCTTTCTCTCTCTCTCTCTCTCTCAGAGCTTCTTCTTTTCTCTCTCTCGTGACTAAGAGCCAAGTAAGGATAAACACAAACAACCCTTTTTTTGCTTTTGATCACACGTGTGTGATTTTACTTTATTGGGCCTTATTCCTTATGTATAGAAAATTCTTAATTCAATTAGAAAATTATTGAAAAAATATAATTAGAAGAAAATAAAATAAAATTAAGACAATGACTTGTTAATCTATTAATTAAACACATAATTATTCATTTAAAATATTGAGATCTACTCGTACTTGTCAAATTTATAATTGATAGATACATATTTGTTATTCTTTTTTTTCTTTGAATTTTTTAAAAAAATTAGGTACTAGTAAGTTAAAAAAAAATTAATAACATATGTTTAAAGTTTAGTGTGTACTTAAATAAAAACATTCAACATAAATGATGATAAATATTTTCGGTTGCGTCTATATAATTTATTTTTATTATGTTTAATATGTTAAATAATGCATTTTTGGGATATAATGCTTGAATGATAATATTTACATTTTTTCAAAATTTTTAATGATTTTTTTAAAAAAATTTGGGTATTCTATCTATCGTTTTGAGCGTATTGACCGATATCACGCCGCGACTGATGTGTATCAATGCCCTCCGAGTCGATGACCGATATCGCGACTTTGAACCATGTTTGAGATTAAGCTCTAATACCGATTGATGAGGAGAGAAAAGGAAAAGAAAGAAGATATTGAATTCTCATAAGGTTTAGGCCAAAAAACACAGATCTCTATAGAGAATTTTTAAATTGATATTCAACTCTAGCTAAAATAATATAGAATACGTCCTTATTTCTAGACCAAGCATCCTACCATAAATAAATTACTTTCCCAAAAATTCAAATAATAAATTTAGTTACGCTCGTCCAAACATCCAATAGCTACGCCATCATGTAGTTCAGTCGTCTATTTTTTTTATGTTGTCCTACTATATAAGAGACTCTATTGTGCTGTAATGATATTTTCTATCCTTTTTTCTTCTTTTCTTTTTCTTTGATCAAATTTTACAAGACATCAAAGCATATTGCAACCCAAAAACATATTTAGCATTACAATTATTATTTTAGAGGAAAAATTTATTCTTGGACTAGGGTTGATGTCATACCTCATCAAACTAGACCTGCTGAAGGAAACTCCCAACTCGATCTTTTATGCACATTCTCATAATGTGCTTGGTTTTTGATTTCCTAGTGATTGGATAGGGCTTTTTATTTTTCAAAAACTTCAATATTTGATTTTTTGCTTCTTTCTTCAATTTCTTTGGTTCAGACCAAGCCTAAAGGGCTCAACTAGAGGTTCTTGGTGCTTGGTTGTGTGATGAGAGAGCAAGTGCTTGGTCTGCTATTTTTTTTGTTGATTCCAAAGCCTATGAACAATATCGAGATTAATGTTCACGATGTGAACAATTCTCGAAATTGAATATCTTGTTTTCCTTTGGCTTGAGTCTAGTCTAGGAAACCTCAATTGATTGTGGGTATTTAATTGGAAAGGCTGAAAGGTTAATTTGGGATGAACTTTATGTTGTTTGGGAGGTTCAATGGTCTAGATATATGCAAAGTTAATCTGTTTGTTCCTCTTATTCCTATCACAAGGTATAATTCTGTATTGTTGCTCCATTAGATGATTCTTAATTATATTTGACTAATTATTTGGTGAAAACTTGGTGAACTTCTCTTTTGTGTGCATCAATGTTTCTTCGTTGTTGTTGGGATTCCTTCCTAGGTTGTGTAGTTAAATGCTATGCTATGTGGTTTGATGGTTTGTGGTTTCTTTCTTGGGTAATGGTTTGCTACCCTTGTGAATGTGGCGTCAGATTGTTAGGCTTTGGGCTTTGTATTTTGGATTTGGTTCATGTGATTTAATCCTTGTTATACAATTTTTGTTTGTTGGAATTATGGGAAGTAGAAACTCTGACTTGTATAGTCCATTACGTTAAAATTGACTATGATTGCTAATAGTTGTCGAACCTCCTTCAACAGCCTCACACTCTCTCAGTTTTTCCTTCCATAAGTCCGTTCAATTCAAGCCCTCTAAGTATATCTCGAACCATCTGGGTCTTTAACTCAGATGCTTAGAGAGTTCACACAAACAACGGCTTGATAACCATTCTATTTGCCATGCCCTGACCTTTTCTCCTCCCTCAACATCTGTGATCATAGCTAATGGTGCTTAAATGTCCCTGACCGGTGTTCAATCTATAATTTCTTCGCAACTAATGCTTCTCAATGTTTCTATATTCCACAACTTACTTTGAATATGATTTAAGTTAGTCAGCTATTTGACTATGAATTTTTAACTCATTTTTCTTCTTCTGGTTGGGTTGTGTAGGATCCACATTCCAAGAAGCTAATTGGGACATTTTAGAAAGGTACAATTATATGTGTTGGACGAGTTGCATGTTCTAGATATTATTGCTTCTACCGGTAATTTGTCTTCTTTTCATTTGAGTCTATAAGCTTCTAATTTTTATTTGTAGCATTCTCATCTTGGTCATGTTTCTCATTCCCGTTTGAAATATTTAACATTTACTACTAGTTTGTTTAACTTAGAGTATCATTACATTTTCAGTTGTAGTGGATGTAAGTTAACAAAATTTACTTTATCACCTGTTAATAAAAATTCTAGTAGCTCTCTTGCACCTTTTGATCTCGTTCATTCTGATGTGTGGGAACCTGCTCCTATTCCCACGAAAGAAGGTCTAGATGTTATGTTACTTTCATTGATAACTATACCATGTACTCTTGGGTCTATCTAATGAAACATCATTGTGAATTCTTTTCTATATTCATTGTTTTTTATGGTATGATACATACTCTATATTCCTATAATATTTAATATTTTCGATGGAGACAACACATTTTCTCTTGATATCTGAAAGTGTCCATGTTCTTTTTTGGGGGAAGTAGGTCTTACTACAATTCATGTGATTAATTACATTCTCATTATCATCACCTTTAGAACATCTCCCTTTCAAAAACCATATGATAAGTCACCTAATTATTTCTCCTTATGAGTGTTTGGATGCTCGTGTTTTGTCTTGCTTCTTAGTGCTCTTCACACTAAACCCAGTGCTCTACTGTCACTCAGCTAGGCTCTAATAATGCAGATTATGTTCCTCGTTTATCCTCAATAATCTTGTTAATGTTTAGATCAATTTGGTTTCTCTAACTCTTGATATACACTATTTCTGAACCTACTTCTTATTAGAAGGTTGTTCTTGATCCTCTTTGAAAACATTCTATTGATAAGTCGTTTCTTGCTTAACATAAGATTGGCACTTGGGAGTTGTTATCATCCCCCCGGCCAACGCAAGGTTGGTTATAAGTGGTTTTATTAAATTAAGGCAAAATCTAATGATTCTGGGGGACAATACAAGGCCCGATTAGTAGCTCAAGGATTTGATCAAAAATATTGCATAAATTAATGTCATATATTTGCTCTTGTTCGTAAGATGACCATTGTACGCACTATGATTGCATTGGCTGCTATTGATCACATATGGATGCAAAAAATGTTTTTCTTAATGGAGATTTGACTGAAGAAGTCTTTATGCCTACTCGTCCTGGATTACGTCATAATCTTAGTTGCAAACTCCTCAAAGCATTATATGGTCTTCAACAGGCTCTGAGCGCATGGTTTGTCAAATTTTCTTTAATCATCTGTAACTTGGGTATTCATGACAATCTTCATAATTCTACTCTCTTTTTGCGATCCACTTACTCAAGTTCTATTATTCTCTACCTTTATGCTAATGATATAATTATTACAAGCGATGATGCTATTGGCATACAGCTATTGAAAAATCAACTGTAATATCATTTTGAGATGAAAGATTTCAGTCAGCCTTAATATTTCTGCCAAAAGCCTCCAGTTCTATGACCATATTTTTGCCAAAAGCCTTTGAGTGAGGCAAACACCATATACCAGAACAATAATAAAATGCTCATATCATTTGTCCTCACCAATTATAGGAATAAGTGAATATAAATCCATTTGACTTGGGGCTAATGACATTTTGTATACTTAAAATTTAAAAATAGCACTTTGTCCCCTCAAAGATAAAAAGTTGTACTTTACCCACTTATAGGTAAAAAGTTGCATATTGCCCATTTAATTTGTCAAAAATGTTGAGGTGCCCCAATTTCCATAATACATTAAGCTTTCCTTTCGTGAAGATGTAATGTGCCAAGCAAGTTATTTTAGTCAATAAATCTTTCAAAAGGAAAAGTGTAACTAGTTAAAAAATTTAGGAGGCAAAGTAACATTATGATGTCTATGCATACGAAAAACCAAAAGTTGTCTAGTAATTGAGGCACATCGCAATACTTCAGTAAAATAATGGGAGCAATGTGCAACATTTTATTTTTGAGGGGGCAAAGTGAGACTAAAAATTTTAATCCTTTGATGAAACATCTTGTCAAAACATAATAATTTTCCCGAAAAATATAATTTTTTCATTTTGGGGCAACTTATATAGCCTTAGACATAACAAGGACTTGATGAATCACCTCATCAAGAAAATATAAATTCCACCACTAGAATGGTGGCATAAAGATAGGAAAAATGGTCAACCTGTTTTCTGTAAATCTTTTCTTCTACTGTACCACAGGTCATCAATCTGTAAACAAGCACATCCTTATTTTGACCAATACGATATGCCCGGTCAACACTTTGGTTATCAGTACTGCAAAGTAAAATGCGTCATTAGCAACAGTGTGAGCATAATTCACCAAATAAATCAGATAAGGCAAATTTTGATTATGACAAAAATAGTCAAATAGCTAACCCACATGCCAACAACAATCGAATTTATTAAATAGCATTATTGGAACAACTCCAAAGGGATGCAAAGGGAAGAAAATCATCATCGTATGAGATTAAATGGAATAAGAAGTCATTAATTAGGCAAGGCATTGTTGGATCTCATTATACAAGATATTATATTAGTAAGACACTTCTGAAGCTCATTTGTACTTATATTCTCAGCTAAATTTTGGTTAAAAAGAAAAGCAGAAAGTTTACCTGACTTACCAGAAATGTCACAAAGCATAGAAAAGAAAAATATCACACACGATAAAGAAAAGTCCCATGAATATGTTAGAGGGTGTTGTCAATTAAATTATATCACATATGATTTAGATTTGTTCCCTTAAAAGCATTATTTCTCAAAGAACCCACACATGTTTCAACAATTTAGACTACATTTTCTTAATATTAATACATTTGTGTTCACCGGGCCACAAAATATCTGTGAAAGCAATAGTTTTTAGGCAAGTACCTTGGGTTCCACGCTGGATCAACCACTATCACACGATCTGCTTTTGTTAGTGTAAGACCGAGACCACCAACTTGAGAAGTCAACAGAAAGATAGGAGCTCCAATACCCTCTTGGAAATCCTGTAAGAATCAAACTGAAATCAGAGGATGAAAACTTCAAATAATTTGGGATCTGTATCCACAGGAGAAAAAAAAACCAACTTTAACAATCTTCACTCTATCAGCAGCTTTAGTGGTACCATCAATACGCAAGAAGTAGTAACCGATGGAAATTAGGGATTCCTGTGTAAAAGAATTAAAACACAATTAGCCTCTAATAATTAACCAAATATCATCTTTAACACATATCAACACAGCTGTTTGAGATAATAGCTACAAAACTCATTTGTCAATAGAAGTATTGAACCTTAGAATAGCAAAAACCCCAAAAGGAAAATACATATTTGACATTTTGTGACAAGTTCCTTTTTACAAGAAATGGCACCTAGTTCCACATCAATACAGGGGAGTGATAGCAGCAGGGGCAAAGAACAAGCATCTAAGCTAGTGATCCATCATGAATAAAGATTCATCTAGGTCCTTGTCCTGGCTTAAAACAACGCCCCAAAACTAGGTTCCTGTCCATTTTGAATTACCTACATACTATATGACAGTATTTGTAAAGATGGTTCAGCTCAAAGTTGTGCCTTAGGCCATGAAATCCACTTGTCCATTAAACAACCTATCAAAAGTACTTGTCAATTAAACAACCACCTCATCAAGGATTTTTCTCTAGAAATATCCTCGTAATATTAGATAAATTACTGTCAAGATCTGTTAGCAAATAGTGAGGTCCAACAAAATATGATATTTCTTCAAAGTATATCATGGTTTGAAAACAACTAAGAGATTAGAAATTAACCTGAAATCAAATTAAGCATCTTGCGCGTTTGTGAAAAAATAAGAAACAGTATGCCCCTTCGGAATCAAATCATCCTGTGATAGAGAATCATGGGCTTCACAACAAAGTGATTTGATGGTATATCGAGAATTTCAAATAATCAATTAATATTATGTGGCATTCCTACCAGTAAATTTAATATAAAAGATATTTTGCAGGAGACATTGTCATGCTTTTCTACAAAGTCAAATCTCTCCCTGACATCTGCTATGTGCATTGCCAATTTTGCAGCAATGCCACGGTCTTCTTGGTTTAGACTTGACTCCATCCCTTCCAGTACATCTTCAGCAGCTCTCTTTGTCAAAAGAAGTGGATGATCACATATTTTCAAAATCTGCTTGCAAAAAAAGGTATAAGTAACTATCATCTTGCTTAAGGAAATAACAATGGATAAAGTGCAAAGCAAAAAGAAGAAGAACTAGGCATCTTGAAGAAATAACAACAGAAGAAATTCCCCAAGTACAAATGGCAGATAATTTACCAAAATAAAAAAGAAACAATAACAATAACAATAACACCGCTAAAAGTAATTGTTTTAGTATGTTTTACTTCATCTTAAGGGTAGGAAATAGAGGCTACACAAAATAGAAGCATAAAATGGAAAAGTGCACAGCAAAAAAGAAGAGCCAGGCCATCTCAACAAAATAACAACATATGAACTTCCTCAAGTACGAATGGCAGATAATTAATCGAAATAAAAAAGAAACAATGACAATAACACCACTAAAAGAAATTGTTGTAGTATGTTTTACTTCAACTTAAGGGTATTTTTGTACTTTGTGTTTATATAAGCTAAGGTATACTGCCTTCTACATAATATTACTTGATCAAAAAAGAAATTGAACAAGTGCCTTGATTTTTATTCCTTTGTAAAATCTAAAGGCCATTGTTTGCAAGTTAGGCATGAGAGTATCCATGCCTAACTTGCGGGGAGAGTGTTATGTTATGCTTTATTTTT